TAGGTACTACTTTTTTTACTTAAAAAAAAAAAGAAAATATTATTCAGAATACATTTTCTGCACCGAGAAACAAACAAATTAGTACCAGTTTTAATGCAAATTTACGCAGCACTTTTTGTGTGTGAGTGTGTGTGTCAGATCAGTGTTTTATCACTGTTTGTGTCTGTTGGCATCTGTCAGAGCTCATTTTTACCAGTTGAACAATCTTAATGGTTTCATATCTGGTGGAACAGTGGTTTGAGAAGTGATCTGATATATAATCTGTAATTATTCATAATTAGGAGTTCTTGAAAAGTCACGTGACAGTAAATATTTGAGTAACATCCAAAATTTTACAATTAAAAAAAAGTTTTCTTAAATAAACCTAGTCTTGGTGAGATCTTTAAATAAAATTTAGTCCCAAAATATTGAATGGTAGTGTCTTCCTAAAACAAACTATTTTTATCACTAATCATCTTCTTTTTCTGTTTCTTTTTTTTAAGAAATGTAAACAAATTGCACAGAGCAAAGAAGAGATGAGTATTGCACGGCCACATGTTTCAGATGATGAGGATGAGACACGGGTGAGTACTAATCCTTACATTACAACATATAATGCAGCATATAGTGAAACACTAGGTCTGTAACGGTTTGGTTCACATACACTCATGACAAATACAGAATGCATTCACAAAAATTGCGCTCACCAGTGGTTAGCCAACATTAGTCCTGCCTCTGAGTTCTGATTAGTTCACTTTTCTGAAACTGACAGTATCGATGACTAATAAGTTCTGCTGTGGGTAAAAGTTGAAATGGTTTTGTCTTCATGCGACTTCTAAACATGCAGAGCTGCAAAAGACTCAAGTGTAGAAGGGTCACGCGTGTCCGTAAACAATGAAAATATAAGATATTGTCTCATCATGTAAGCTTGTAAGTCAGTCCGTAAGTGCTCTCTACACACACACACACACACACACACACACACACACACACACATATAATATTGCACAGCTAGATCTGCTGCATGGATGGACACCAAAATCAGGGTACATACCGACTTGTGACTTTAGTGTACTGCATCACTGCTATGAACCACACAATTTTCTTTTACACTTATTTTTTTACATTATCATAATGCTTTAAAAATATGCTGCAATGTTGACAACTAAAAAGTATATATGGGGAATTTTTTTTAAATAAAAAATTTAAATTAGACATGTATAATGTCACAACCTATCACGAGACTACCATGAACACAGCCCAATCATTAAGGAACCTTTCATTACGTTTTACTGTACTTTGTTGCCGATGAAAATATAAAAAGTGGATAATGAAAACAATATTTTTAACCCTGCATGGTAATGCGAGTTCGCTTTTATGGAGGTACATGGAAAACCAACATGTCTCATTTGTTAAATGTAAAAAAATGTTCAAATATATATGTGACCTCCTGTATCTCATATGGTTGATATTTGGCTCTCAAGGCCACTGAAGTTGAGAACCTCTGACTTAAGCGGTAGTTCAGACAAATTAAAATTGTCACATTTATCTTCCACTTGTTTCAAACCGGTTTATTCTGATGAACACAAATTGAGATATTTTAAAGAATGTTTGAAATGTCATTCCTCAGAACATTTCTTTAAGTTATCATCCTTTGTGCTCAGTAGAAAAAAAATTAATGCATAAAGATTTGCAACCACATCAGGGTGAGTAAATAGGAGGGCATGTTTATTTTGGGTTTAACTATCTTTAATTTGGGTTGCTAGATTTTATCAATGTTTTCTGGTTGCTTGTTCTTACCTTTTACGTTTTCTTTTCCCAACTGTATTGCAGTAACCCACTGTCCTACTCTACTGTGTCTCTTATATCCCGAAGATGGAAACCTGTTGCTTACTTTCGGGATAAAGATGAACTCTGCCAGAGGCCAGTTTGTATCTTGTAAATGAAGCTTTTGTTGGCTCACAGGAGTTGGATATTTTGAGAATCTGGACACTTAAAACTACATTGATTTCAGTGGTTATCTTTAAATTGCGCAAGCTACAGGAACATTTTCTTTTATTTACAGCTAATTAAAAACTACGAGATTATACCATTCAGTATGTCTCAAGGTGGAACAAAAAGAGTAAAGTGTGAAACAGACATGCGACCTGCTCAGACTGACAGTGAAACTTTTTTTTTTTTTTTATTTTTACCTTCATTACATATGGTGCCTCTTGATACCATGAAGAAGGACCTCTCTGGTACATTTATTTCAGATTAATAGGTGTACCTAAAAGAAGAAGAAAAAATTTGGGGTGCAACTTAGATCACTTGTCAGGTCTGTTGGTCCACACTTTCAAATGTTCTGTTAACACAGATAAATGATTATTTTAGGAGTATTTCCCCCCCCTGTATTTTAAAATGTATTAAGTGTTAATCACTTATTTAAATGCATATATGGTGAAGATAATTGTTTTTGTTCCTTAACACTTTGTGAACTTTTAAAACAAATTAAATGTTGAGGTTCAGAATTGTGGCTGTACTTGAGTGCTATATTAACAGATGATTTTTGCATTGATGTGCATTGTAAGGGTTTTGACCACTGACTTACTTTTAGTTCGTTACTTTGGTTAAACCTTGCTGTGTACTGGTGACTGATATTGTGCTCTGATGTAATCTAAAATAATATTACAGAGAATGAACAGTCATTAATGAGATTTTGGGAATTATTTTCACAATTTTAGTGTATCATACGGTGCATCCTTATGAACGTGATGCAGTTGTGTGGTATACAAGTGCAGTTTTATTGATGTGACTGAAATATTTGACCCCTGCATAGGTGCAGGGTGGGATGCTGTATTTTCAGTAGAACATTTCACCTTTCTAGATGAGGGGTGATTAAAATGAATATGATTTGCGTAAGATTTTCATTTAGACACATGTACTGTAAGATGTACTATATACTGTGTAGTTGTATTTGGTCAGGGTTTTTTTTTTTTACCTCTCCCCTCCACTGTCTTCTGCTATGGTGGAGATCACTTTCCAATTTATTTAAGAAATGTGATGACGGCACGGCTCCTCATAATCTGGAAAATTCATAATGTTAATGTTAACAATTAGTTTATTTAACTTGACAGGATGTCTGACACTACATTGCTAAGTTGTAGATTTGACAGTGTATTGCCCATGGTGAAAAAAGTGACACAGACTTCTTTCCACAGCTTCTTTCCACCTATAGTGTAGTGTGAATATCAATAATTAATTAGATTAACACAAACAACAGATTTCAAACTGGACATTTGATTTTCTTGTTGTTTCTTTTAAAGTGAGTGTTTGCTTGGTAATAAAAATTCTAGTATCATCTCTCACCCTCTCAAAAATTACATGATTGACTTATCCCCAAAACCAGAATATTATTTTGGTTTAGAATAACACCACAGGGATTATATGATGACAGAATTATTTTGAATTATGCCTTCAAGTATGACCACGGCCATGGTTTCTTTAAGGTTAATATGGACAAGTTCTTCTGCAGGTACAAGCCCACATTCCTTTCATAAAAATGTGAAAGATCTTCAGTTTTGACAGCATTTTTTAGCTTTTACATCACATTGTGAAACATAATGGCACACAATCTTTGTAAATAGTGCAACATCAAATAATAAAGGAAACAATCAAAATCACTTTGAAAATGTGTTTTTTTATATGCATTAATGATCATGCAGCTTTCTTTTCAGTAGCTGTGTCAGGAGATGATGGCAATTGGAATGTGAGATGTGTATGATTTAAAGTAATAATTATCTTAACAGAATTGTAAGAGTAGTGTTTTCTCTGGGAAAAGTCAGTAAGGGCATTTGGGCAAGGATATAGGAAATGTACGCATTCACAATATTCATGCGCATAATGGTTTGATATGCAGATTTAAAAAAATATATATATATATTTTATTTATTTATTTATTTTTTTTGCCAAAAAAGGAATTAAAGAATATCAGGAAATAAAACCTTTACTGAAAATTGTTCAGTTTGTTAAATTTATGAGATTCCAGAAGGCTTTTTTATGAATTTACCTCTCTTAAGGAAGTTTTTATCAAAGTGACACCAGTAAAAATAATAATAATAATAATTTCTATCATGTATTAACACAAAAAAATCTTATTTAATTTATGTATTCATTTGTTTGTTGCTTTCAATTGTATATTTATTATTAAAGCGTTTTTGCTGTGAAAAAAAGCCATGGTTACTGACATGGCATAAAATAAAACGTGTTCAATTTATGAAGTCAAAACAATACTTGCAAATAATTAAATGCATTATTGGCGTAGCAGTTAATTTTAAGGACAGCATATTTTAGGCCATCCACTACATAAATTGAATGCATAATACGTCTAATCACATCTACATAACTTTAATACAAATGCTTGCTAGTCAAGTTTTGATAATTTTTTTTTTCTTGTTTCATGTCTGATAAATTATATTTAGGCCATTGTATGATTTCAATTAACATACAGAATAAAGTAAGGTTATAACAAAAATATATATCAATACATGCATATCAGGAACTATTTCAGATAAAACACCTCAATATTATGTTAAATAATTGTACTTGTATCAAATATATATCTATATCTGTTTGAGTGACCCGACTTCTGCCTCTATTGCTAGTACATATGTTAGCATGTTCGTCCATGCCATTACTTATCCATAAATGATATACCTTTACAACATATTTTAGTGTAATAATTATGTCTTTAATAAAACTAAAACATCTTGAGATGCCTCAAAGTATTTTTTTGCCATATAGATTAGAATAACAAACTAGCTAAGAACGTTAGCTAACATTCATTCATATGAAAGCAGCACATATAACGTTAGCTTTGACGAAGAGACAATTAGTAACATTTCTAGCTCTTAAAAAATACAAATTTGATGCAACAGTTTCTTTTTTATTTTTGTGGATGTGTATTACTGCCACCTGCAGGATGCATTGAATATGTCTAAAAAGGAAACGGGAAGTTGTCAAGTACTTGCATGAAGCTCACTGTTTTCCGCAAATGAAGGACTGAAGCGAAGCTATTTATTCATTAAACACCCAACTAAACAGACAAACACTTAGTTTACAGTTAAAATAACAACTTACCTGTCGTCAATGCCGATACATAAACTTACAGTGTGCGCGAGTCGTTTAATGATGTCATCTTTCTATTGTATAGACAGATAAAGTAGCTTAGCTTGTCACACCATATGATTCACATCAGTCCAGTAGAACCGAATTAATTTGACGACCCATCCAGTATTGTCATATTTACATTATGCAGCAGTCTTATAATGAGGAAAGTGAGGCCACCGTGGACGTGCATTTTACAGACCTGACTGATTCACTTGTGGCCTGGAAAGTTCCTGTGGATGTTTTTGACATTGAAAGCCACTTAAGAGTGAGTAACAGTCATACTTCTATTTTCCTCTCTCATTATTCTAGCCTGGCATGTATGTAAAAGGCCCACTGTTTGACAAATATTAAACCAAATTAATTTTTTTTTAAAGAAAGATGACACTAAAACAGTTTTATTCTTACAAAACATTTATGATATATTTTATATTATTTAAAAAAACAGTTTTGACTGTCAACTACAGCAGATAAGTCATTTAATTCAATACAATACAGAAAATTTCAGGTTGTTTGTTTGATTATTATAATAATGTTGACATGGTAACATCATATTATTTGTTGTAACCTAGATTTGTTGTCTGCTTATTCATGCTGTGAATGCACAGTTCCACTCTGGCCAAAAAGATGCTCTGTTGGATTGAAATGTGGTCATTGTGAACTCATGGAAACTGCGATAACGTGCTTTGTGACATGGGACTTTATACTCCGTAATCTTAACATTAATCTCATTTAATGAGCCATAATCAGATATAATCTTACACCTAATGATATGATGCAAGCATGAAATCAGATGATTAAGCATTTGAGAAATGGTGTCAATGGACTTTAACTTGAGACTGGATTTTTGTTTGTAGAAAGTGTTGCACTATTTTAGATAATTTAGTTTTTTGGAAGCTTTTGGAGATTTTAACCTAAGTGGAAGGAATTGACCTGTCATTAACACCTTTTTTTGTGGAAAAAAAAAGTAAAATAGGAACTTAATAGGGGAAATAGCATCATTTAAAGGGCCCCAATTAATCCCTTTTTCAAGATTTAAGATAAGTCTTTTGTGTCTCCAGAATGTGTCTGTAAAGATTCAGCTCAAAACCCCATCAGATTATTTATTATAGCTTTCAGAATATTGGAATTTTCTACTCTGAACAGCTTGTAGCTGTTTTTGTTGCCTGTGCCTTTAATACTAGTTCTCTCCACCCACTGTTCCCACGTGCCTGTCAGTGTGCCTCAATTTCCATCTCGGCTGCGTCCGATAAACAGCACAGTGACAGACATGAGGAAGCAGAGCTCACATAAAGTTTGTGAGAAACACTACAGTTCACGCACGCACACACAAAGCGTGTCACGTCTTTTTTTATTGGAATGTTCAACAAAAGTACAAAAATATACAGAAAAGTATAAATCATATATACCAACACAAAACTAGCCAACAGAACAAAACAAAAAGAGAAACAAAAAATGATGCCAGTGGTAATATAAATTACAACATATCACTTTAAACCTGTCTTAAAGCAAGGTCACAGTGATGTATAAAAGGTCACATACTGTAGTATACAATCAGCTGGGTATTATAGAAAAGATACAGTAAGATTCACAGTGTTATTAATTTTAAACCTTTAACATTGCTGGAGGAAGACATTGTATTCAAATAATGTTTCAAATCTTTATAAAAAAAGAAAAAAATAACAGGCTTTATAGACAGAAGTTTGCATTTGTGAATAAAAAGTTTTGCTAGTAAAATAAATAGAATTATTAGAAATGATTTATCATTTACTTTATCAACATGATAAAAACCAATTGAAACATCCTTGTATAACACAGAAAGACTATCTAAAAGAGAGGCACTTATGAATGAACTGAATTCTTTCCAAAAATAATCTAAACATGGGCGCATTCCCAAAAAAAGATGATCGACAGATTCATCTATTATTCCACAAAAAACAAAGGGGATCTTTCTCAGGAATCTTTTTTTTTTTTTTTTTTTTTTTGCATATAAACATTCACCTGATAAACTCGATGTAGCAATTTAAAGGAAACCTCTTTAACCTTATTTGTGATTAAAAATTTGTTGGGTAAAGACCACACAATCTTCCAAGGAATATCTTGAAATAAATGATTCCTGCATATGACATGAAGAATAGAGGTTATTTCTTTCTAAAAAGAGAAGGGTTAAGCTTGAAACTAATTTTTAGAACGTCCTGTCTTATTGATATGATTACACGCGTTACTACGTAGACATGTCAATATGTGACTGCTAATTACTTCAGTGGGCAGGAAAACCACACTCCTAAGTCACATTGCTGTGGGCCTCAAAATGGGAGGGATTTGGATCCTATTTTATTGTCATAATTTTTTTTTTAAAAAGAGACTTATTGTGTTTATATTATTCCAATATGACTGTGGAAAAACTGTACCTACACACAGTCCTGTCCTAACAGCTTCAAAAGAGGATTTTCTTCATAGGTGCCCTTTAATAACCTTTTTTTCCCTCCAAATGGCCTATCAAAATGTTTACAGTACTTCTCTTTTTTACTTTTATGTCAACAGCTTAAATTTTCAAAGTGTAGCTTTACTTCATAATGATTTATTTAGTAATGTATTGAAGGAGCTGGAGCTTTCGGGAAATTGAGACTTATTATTTGCCTGCTGACTCCTTGATTTTCTGTTTGAAATATTAGAGAGCTTTACCAGAAAAAGAAAACAAAGCAATACATAACAAAGCACATTACGCTCATTTGTTTGCCATTTTCCACAGAAGATGATTATGACATTGGAGTGGTGATTAGGTGTGTTTGTCATGGCTGAAGAAATTTTCCACTTGACGTCACTTTTGTTGAGCTGTTACACAAATTCTTGCTATCAGACAGCCTTAAGTCGGGTTGTAGACACTGTTATTATACAGTAGAGAAATGACCTGTTTCAGCTAACCTTTTTTTATACACTTGCGATTCACAAAAATAACAGGTTTTGTCAGTTTATCTTGTAACTGTTGATAAATGAGCATTTGGTAATAAGATTTTAGTGACGTGATGCATGATAAAAGCAAGCGTTGAAATATAAAGAATAGTAGTTGTCTATAGCACAACACAAGTGGGTTAATCTTGAGTTCAGGGAACTGGTTTCTGCTGTGTGCAGTTTTCCAAAAAGGGCGGAAACCTTGAGTTAAATGGAAATGGGATGAAGGATAATAGAGATAGGAAAATAGTCTGCTGTTGAGAATGGAGAAAATGGAAAATCTGTTCCATTGTTTTGCAATGTGGAAACAGGAAGCTCTAGGACACGAAACACAATGTGGATACGGTTCTGAAATATGTGGGCTAAACAGTTGGTGTTCAGTCAAAATAACTTATTTTTATTATTATTATTATTATTAGTAGTAGTAGTAGTAGTAGTAGTAGTAGTAGTAGTAGTGGTAGTAGTATTTTTATGGCATTTTCTAAAAGGCATCATGCACTGCATTTTATTTATATTGTCCTATTGTAATGTTAGCAAGAGCTTCTTATCAAAAAAGTCCATTAATAATAATAATAATAATAATTCAGACACAATAGTAAGCTATTGTTTTGAGTTTGACCCTCTTTTTGAAACTTTTTCTGATAGACTTGCCTCAAGTCTTTTAAGCAAATCCTAAGTGGTTATGCAATGGTTTTGCATATTAAAATAAATGATGATAGCCGTTTTGCTGTAGGCCTTTGATTCCTGGGTATTATTTTTTGGTTTGTTTATTTTTTGTTTGTCTAGGCCCTCAAATTGCATCGTTGGACTTTGATCTCTGCTTTTACATCTTTTGTTGTTGGAAAGTTTAACAAAGTTAATTTTTTTGTTGTTTTAGTAGGTTGGTCATGCAAATTATGGTAGAAAGCTATGATAGCAAGTACTGTATCACTTATTTTAAGGATGTATTTCTCTCCATATTTTATGTCTTATATGTAATCTAAAAATATGCAAGTTAAAAGCATGAAATAAAACTGAGAAACAATATAAACAACAGCTTGCCGTGCGACAGTAATATTACCTTCAATACTGGGAAAGCTGGGCTAACCTAACGTTATAGAAGAATTCCCTTGATATACATTTCATAATAAACATACAAGTTGTATTGAAAGTACCATATTAAATAAATACGCTTTAGGAATATGTTACATTATTCATTGACTAATGAAATTAATATAATTTGTTTTATTTCTCATCAACTTTAAGCCTTTACACACGTTGTTTCGTTTTAACATGCTGTTTTTATAAAATCCTTTTAGCAAATATTTTTGAACATCTAATTAAATCATGTAAATTTGCTTCTTTAGGGTAAAATTACTAGGCTAACTCATGGAATTAATCTATTTAAAAGACTTTGATTGTTAAATTGAGTAGAATAAATTTATTTTTATTAAAAACACATTAAAGTCTATTGACCTTTTTCTTTAATGCGGAAGTGCGCTCATTTTGAGATTGTTTTTGAACTTCCGATTTAGCTCCCTATGGCAGAAATGACTAGGAATAATAAACAGCAGAAAACAGTCAAACTACTTGCTCTACAAACAAGTGTGTCCATGACTATACAGACAAAATAGAATAATATAATAAGAAAATATCAGTTTGCAACATCAAGCAGCAAAACTAGCTGTTAATGCCTAAAAATGAGTGGAAGTCAATGAGACCGGAAGTCTCGAGCCAAAAAGATTCAAATGGCTGCGCCTGCTCCTACACAGAGAATAAGGTGAATAAAACATTCACAAAGCCGTAACTTATCCGACTGCCTGGAGCTCAGAGTACGAAATTTTTAAAGACTCACTATCCTTATACATAAACTGGCGATTTGACATTAAAATTACTAAACATGCTTGGAAAAAATCTTAAAAATAGATTTTGTGGCATAATAAAAGAGGATTATTCTAATTTTCCATCTGTCATTAAACATCCTTATCACTTTCCAGTGCATTCATTCATTCATTTTCTTTTTCGGCTTACTCCATTTATTAATCTGGGGTCACCACAGTGGAATGAACCACCAACTTATCCAGCATATGTTTTTACGCAGCGGATGCCCTTCTAGCTGCAACCCATCTCTGGGAAACATCCATACACACTCATACACTACGGACAATTTAGCCTACTCAATGCACCTGTACCACATGTCTGTGGACTGTGGGGGAAACCGGAGCACCTGGAGGAAACCCACACGAATGTAGGGAGAACATGCAAACTCCACACAGAAATGGCAACTGACCCAGCTGAGGCTCAAACCAGCAGCATTCTTGCTGTAAGGTGACAGCA